CACGCGGGCCGCCGCGCGCGCGGCGACCGCCTGGCCGCGCGAAGCGCGCGCCCATGAGCGGCGTCCGGTCGAAGGCCGACGTGATTGGCGCGTCGCCGCGGCGTGCGAGGAGCTTCGCGAGCAGCGTCCGCAGGCCGACGGGACGCGCGCGTCGCCGCGGCGTGCGAGGAGCTTCGCGTGGAGCGTCCGGTCGAAGACGCCGACGCCGGCGCGTCGTCGTCGAGCAGCGCCGCCACGCGCGCCGTGTCGCGTCGGCGCCGGCATCGGCGGCGTTCGTCGCGTCGCGACGGAACCGAAGCCGAGCCCGCCGCCGAGCCCGCCTCGAGGCCGAGCCGCCCGCGGCCCCCGAGGACGCGGGCGCGCCGCCGTCGACGCGGCCCCAGCGTCGCCTTCGCGGCCCCAGCGTCGCCTTCGCGGCCGCGGAGGCACCCGGGGCGCCGCGGCGGAGGCCCCGGCGCGGGGCGTCGCGCCGCGGAGATCGCTCGTCGCTCGGTCGTCGCGCCGCGGGGATCAATCGTCGCTCGAGGACGACGAGGAGGACGACGAGGACGAGGACGACGACGACGACGCGGCGCGCTTCCGCTTCTTCTTCTTCTTCTCCTTCTTCTTCTTCTTCTTCCGCTTCTTCTCCTTCTTCCGCCGCTTCCTCGCGCGGCGCTCATCGCGCATCTCGCCGACGAGCGCCTCGAGCGCCGACGGCGCGGCGGCGGCGTCGTCGCGCTGCCGCTTGAGGGCGAGGGCCGCCATGGGGTCCTCGCGCGCGACGCGCTCGGCGTCGAGGACGACGTTGCCGGTGGCGTTGAGCGGGCACTCGCGGTCGCCCGTGCGGTGGCCGTAGGCCTTGCAGCGCCAGCACTTCATGACCTTGACCTCGACGCCCATGGGCATCCAGAGGCCCTTGCTCGGCGCGTGCGCGAGGAAGTCGCGCACGGCAGCGTTCTCCGGCCGGTCCGGGATGGCGTCCTCGGGCCGCGCCTCCGCCGGCGGCGGCCGCTCCGCCGGCGGCGCGTCGGCCGACGGCGGCGCGTCGGCGCCCTCGGCGGCGAAGCTGTTGCTCGTCGCGCCGAGCTCCGCGAGGATGCGCGCGCGCTCGGCGTCCATGATTGCCTTGACGCGTTCTAAACGTAGGAGGAGCGGTCCATAATTGCCACAAGGGAGGCCTCAACGAAGCCACGCTGCCGTGATGCTGCCGTGTGCGTCGAGTGAGCAAAGTTCTTCTCGTCGCGCTCTGCCGTCTCGGGCTGTTCGGCATCGGAAAGGGCGGCGCGCCGCGGCGACGGCGCGAGCCATGGCGTCGGTCGCCGGCGACGACGACGCCGCGCCCCCCCCGGCCGGCGCCGGCGGCGCGCTGCCGCTGGCGCCGGGCGCCGTCGTCGAGGCCGGGGACCCCAGCGTCTACGTGCTGCCCTGCGCGCCCGGGTCCCGGCGCCTGGAGCTGCGCCTCGTCGTCAAGTGCGGGTCGGCCCTCGAGCGCGACGACGAGCGGGGCTTCGCGCACTTCTGCGAACACCTCGCGTTCCGCACGACGACCAACTACGCGTCCGGCGGCGTCGTCGACTGGCTGCGGACTGTGTGCGAATCAAATCTTCAACCCAACTTCAATGGGCGCGTATTCGAATGTTTTGACACGAGCACTTCCGCCGTGCTTCGAGAACTCGCTGAGAGCAATCGATTCGTCCAAAAATCAGCCGAATCGACTTCGATGTGACCGAGCTAGAGAATTCTGAAGTTTGGCCCCGACGTCCCAGCTCACTGGTTGATTTGCACACAGGCTGCGGAAGCTCGGCAGCGCCTACGGGCCCGACGTCAACGCGTCGACGAACGTCTTCGACACGACGTACCGCCTGAGCCTCGCGCTGCCCGCGGACGCCGCCGCGGCCGACGCCGCGGTCCGCGAGGCGCTCGGCGTGCTCCGCGAGTGGCTCTACGGCGCGACCTGCGGCGCCGCGGACGTCGACGGCGAGCGGCCCGTGATCCTCCAGGAGGAGCGCGACGGCCGCGGCCTCGCGCGGCGGCTCCGCGACCGCTACTTCGCGAAGGTCTTCGCGGACGCGGGCGGCTGCCCGCTCTTCGCCGCGCGCGTGCCCGTCCGCCTCCCCGCGGTCGTCGCCGCGGCGACGCCGGAGGCCCTCGGCGCCTTCCGCGCGCGCTGGTACGGCCGGCCCGGCGCCGCGGCC